GAATTATTCTAGAATGGATAACATTTCAAGGGTAAATGCTAGTAAAAATCGGGCAAGGGGTAGTGATGATCTTGGGCAAAGATCAAGTGTAACAATATATATAAAAGAATCTCTCAAGTCTAATTAAATTCTAATCAGATAATAATATTATATATTTATATTATATTATTTTTTTATTACTTATATAATATATAAATTGTTTAGAAATTTATTTTTAATGATAAATAAAGATTCTAATGATTTGATTTGATTTGATTTTTGATTGTCAAATTTATATTAAATTTAATATCTGAATTATAATTCATCATTATTTTTAATAGTATTTTGAATCTTATATAAGTCTATATAAGTCTGTTCAATTTCAATTTTTAGAACCATAGTAATAGGTTTTTTTATAGTATCAATTATTTTAAAATGATATTCAAGCAATAAAATCATATATTTAAAATTATTTTGATAAAAAATAAGCTTATTTACAATATAAATATACAGTATCTCGAATATTTTTAATTAATTATAAAATGAAATCAAATAATTTATTTGTTACAAATAAAAATAAAGATTTATTTTAATAAAAAAATTAATTTAAAAAATTTTTTATGTTTTAAAATTACAAGTTAGTATTATCCATAGAAGTAATATACAAATTATAATTTTATAAAGCAAAAGAATTTTAATTCTATTTGATAGATAAGCAATAAATTATTCTTATAAATTGTATCTAGAAACTTAATTTTACAAACAGATGAACTGGACTATGTATGCAATTTTCATTATACTAATTTATTCTGATTTAATAAATAGATAACTTCAATTTAATCAAGAATTTATTTTTATGTATTATTTTTATAATTATATAAAGTTTCAGATAGTTAATATTATACAGTAATAGTTTAATAAATATTTTTTCTTGTAATAAAATAGTTAGTAAATAATTAAATTATATAAGTAATATACAATTAGTAAAATATTTATTAATAATAAAATAATTTTATTTATTATTATATTTTAATGAACATTTTCAGATTGCGGTTTGATTGGAAGTAAACAAAAACATTTTTTAATTATTTGCATTTAATAATCATCACCATGAAAACATTTGTCTATTTTATTAGTTAAAACATTATATAAAGTTTTTGGTACAAGTGTTCAAGAATATATATTTCTTGAATAAATCATAAATACTGTTTTTGTTAACATTAAATATTATAAATTTATTAAATGAGAAACAATTTTAAAATATTTTAAATTTACAGTAATAAATTGAGATAATTTAATTTTTACAAAAGCCTAATGCAAATTAAAAATAACAATTGTTTAATAAAAAGCATCAGGCATGTCAATGTTTAATATTAACTAAATCAATGATTTTGCCATCAGGCGATGCTGCAGAAATATTGTAACACAGTTATCTTTAAATATCCGAATTTCTGCAAAAGTTAATAATGCAGTACACGAAATCATTCTTTTAAAAAGCCATCCCATCGTAAATATTTAACATCTTTCTTTATTCAAATATTAAATCTAAAAATGGCCGGAGGAAAAGCTAGTATGTATCGTATATTAAATCTTTCTCTATTAAATAAACATTTATCAGAATATGCACCTTTCATAAATTGTAGTTGGCATTGATTTGGGGTCCACATATTCTTGTGTCGGTGTATGGAACAATGATAGAGTCGAGATTATTCCTAACAATAATGGAAATCGTACTACACCTTCCTACGTTGCTTTTACTCGCACAGGACGATTGGTTGGCGAACAAGCTAGAGATCAAGTTTCCATGAATCCTCGCAATACTATATTTGACGTTAAACGTTTAGTAGGTCGTCAATTTTCGGATCCTGATCTTCAATATTATATGAAGGTGTGTTTTTTGTACATTAACAATATAAACGCTAGAATAAATACGACGTTTTCAAAATTGCGTTATACCTAAAGCTATTAATAATTCTTTTCTTATAAAAAGCAATGGCCATTTGAGGTTATTAATATGAACGGAAAGCCATATATCCAGGTTGAATACAAGGGCAATATTAAACAGTTATCGCCTGTAGAGATTTCATCAATGTTATTGTGTAAGATAAAGGAGTCTGCCGAAGCTTTCCTTAAAGAAAAAGTCACGGATGCAGTGATTACCGTGAGTGCCTGTTTTAATGATTCACAACGTCAAGCCACAAGAGATGCCGGTATAATTGCTGGATTAAATGTTCTTCATATTATAAATGAGCCAACTGCAGCAGCCATCGCATACGGTTTGGATAGAAAAACTGACGAAGAATGTTATGTACTTATTTTTGATTTCGGCGGTGGTACCTTTGATGTATCTCTTCTAACGATAGAGGATGGAGTATTGCTGGTTAAAGCGACAGCTGGTCATGCTGGTATAGGTGGTGAAGATTTTAATCATCGACTCGTGAATCACTTTACTAGGGAGTTTAAACGTAAATTTGGGAAGGATATTACTAAAAATGAGCGTGCCTTATGTCGTCTTCGAACTGCATGTGAACGTGCAAAACGTGCACTGTCATCATCTACACAGACCCATATCGAAATTGACAGTCTTTTCGAAGGCATCGACTTTTACACCTCATTAACAAGAGAGAAATTTATAGAATTAAATCAGGATTTATTTCGAAAAACTATCGAAACCGTTAGAAAAGTTCTCCGAAATGCCAATATTGATAAATCACAGATTAATGAAGTAGTACTAGTGGGCGGTTCTACGCGCATACCTGAAATTCAAAAGATGGTATCTGATTTCTTTGATGGAAAGGAATTAAATAAGTCAATTAATCTCGATGAAGCTGTCGCCTATGGAGCGGCCGTAAAAGCTGCTATTTTATCACGAGATACTTCAGAAAAAATTGAAAGATTGTTATTAGTAGATGTCGTTCCTTTGTCACTCGGAATCAAGACAGAAGGAGGAACAATGAACCAGCTGATAAGACGCAATACTACAATACCCATAAAGGTGTCCAGAACGTTCTCTACAGAGTCAGACAACCAATCACATTTTCAAATTAAAATATACATGTATGACGATGAAGGTGGACAATTATATTATAACAATTTACTTGGAGAGTTTGAACTTACTGGTATCTCACCTGCGCCTAAAGGCATACCTCAAATAGAAGTTATTTTCGACATTGATCACAATGGTATCCTTAATGTATGTAGATCGAAGGTTTTTATCATAATTTTCAATAACTTGTTAATTATTCGAATCAATTAGGTATCAGCTGTTGATAAGTCTACTGGGCAATCTAATGGCATCATCGTTACTTTCGATAAACATCGATTATCAAAGAGAGAGATCAAGCGAATGAGTCCGTTATTTTTAATTGAACTACTTTGTTACTTTAACATAAACTGATTTTCTAACACTTTATGCGATCTATTAGTCTCTGATGCCAAAAAATATCGTGTCGAGGATGAAAATATAGCACAAAGAGTTAAAGCACGTAATGATTTTGAGAACTATTTAAACAATTTAAGAAATTCTCTTCTGGTATGTCCTTTTATTTTACCAATATATATATATATTATTCTGTAATTAAGAATCATAGTAATAAAAAATATTTACGTATTGGCAAAGGGCGTCATCCAAGAATATACCACCTGGTTTGATGATAACCAGGAGGCAGAAAAAGAGGAATATGAACATAAACGTAAGTCATTTGAGAATGCTGCTAGTCAAGTGATAAGAAGCTCTAGCGAATTTTCATGGGAAACTTGGTTAGCTGAAGAACTAAAATAAAACGAATAAGTTAAAAATAGAAGAAATGCGCATATGCGTGAAAAGAACAATTTTAAGATATACTCAATTCGGTTGCTATCCACCAAAAAGGTACAGCGTATGATAAGAAGGGTTCTTTCTCCAATTACATCAATAACTTAATGATAGCATGTTCCCTTTGAAATGTTTGATTTTCCGTAATGATTTTTTTTGAACATTTACCTCTTTAACCTCTTTGTACGTCTTTCTTGTATTTTATTTTATCAATTCAATACAACAATAAATGATACTTCTTTTAATATTTACTTTCTTATACATTAAACAAGGCCCTTTTTTTTATAGCCATCGATTTTACATCTTTTTATTTGAGTCTATTCTTATTACAGCCGCCAACAATGCTATTACTGTACATTACAATTAGATGTTGAGGTTTTTAAGTTGAGACACGTCGTGAGATAATATTGTAAGGAATGATAATAATAATGTAATAATTGAATAATAGCATTAGTAGAGAATAACGCGTTTATAGAATATAAGTCTGATTGTTTTTTACAAATTTCCGCTTATTAAAATAAACGATTTTACACTAAAAGCTTTGCTTTATAGGACAAACACCGAAATAATGAAATAAAAGGATTTTAAGTAAAAAATCTCGTTACCTTTGCTCCGTGTAGGGAGATACGATCTTGAGACGCGCCTAAAGGGACGGTCAAAATTACATTATGCTTTAGAGTTAAAGCATCACCTTTATTTAGTGCCATGATCCAAATGTTCAGATTATCGTCACGCGAATAATAGTTTGAGTTAAACCGGCTCCCGGTGACGACAACAAATTTTATCGAACAATTTGACTAAAAAAATAAGCGTCAACAATCAATCTAGCCGTGGCGCAGGTGGCACATGTTCTTTATTGTAAATGTTTCGATCTTAAAATAAACAACCGTAAATCTAATTACATCGTCGATAATAAGTTACATACATTTGTCCTACAATGACGGGTCCATTATCTAGTAATATTTAAGAAATTCATAAAATTTAGGTTAATCAACAAGTGTAGCCTAAATTCTCCTACATTCTATAAATCAAAGAGTTAAGTGATATGTTTGATAATGTCTCACTTGTCATAATAGCATGGTTATGTAAAATAATATTGGTAAAATTTTCAGTGAAGCCTTACCCATCACATAATGCTATGGGTGTGCAGTAATGTGACGCGACGTCGCGTTACGCAATTCCTTGTTTCTGGGAGAGAACTGTGAAAAGAATGAGATGAGAAAATTTGGTGCAGAATGACATATGCAAACATTCAGCGCAAGCGGTTAACATGTAACAAAGTGTTACTTAGTAGTGGAATTTAGATTAGTGTAAATACAAAAATCATCAGTTTATAAACTCTTGCTCGTGTTGATCGTCGCACTCGCCCTTTAATTTTGATAACAAGATTAATTAGGAAAGTTCTAGTAACTAAGTCAGGGTTCAAAGTATAGTCAAGGGCAATCAGTCAAATCGTAAATATTCTTTTAAAAAATATATATTGATGGTAATAGACTAATTAACAAAGTTTGAATAATTCTGATCCTTGCAGACGAATTTATAATTGTCTGAAGCATCAACACAGGACTACTGTACTCCAAAACGGAAATGTCTTGTTTGTCCGGGTTCATTATATACTTTAACATTTGGCTTTGTTAGTTTCAGACTTGCAATTATTTTTGTTTTCTAATTTGACTAGTAAGGTAATTTTGTTGAAATTCAAAACGTTTAGAAATTGTAAATTTGTATCTGACAATAGTTATTTAAGCTATTTATAATTTTACTAATATAACCGATAAAAATAAATTAAAGATAACTGCAAAATAAAATATGTAAAATTGATAAAACTTTTGAGTCCTATCTATACAGATAAAATAAAATAAAAAATCATATTTGATAGTAATTTTTTTTATAAAAGTATTTTGAAAAATATATTATATTTACCAAATTTTGTAAAGAAATAAAATCATAAATAGTGTTATGGGGTATTTCGGCGAGTCTGTCGCTAACATGTGAGAACTCGCGTAATGTTTATGAGATTAACAGTTTGGCGGGTATAATTGAGGCCTTAACTCTTGGGGCGTATCGATTTGAACCGGCTTCGATACTGTGTACTAACTAACGTTTCTCTTCTTGACTTGGAACTCTGTATAGATACTAGTTTTCTCAATACATTTACCAAACTTCAGGTTCGTACTTGTCACATGAGCAGGTTATTGGCGTGTAGAGAGCAGGTACAGCAGATATAACAAGAGTAAAGTTTATACTTCAAAGTGATTTTTTTTTGTAGAATACCTAAAGCTTCTCTTTATTTACTTTGTCTGTTGGTCCTATTTATAAATGCTATTTTGTTTACATTAACGCCGCACGATTACACAAGCCATTCTATTCTAACTTTCTATCACGAATTACGTAACGCGAGGTCGCGCCGCATTACGTCACCTCTATTTTCCTTATAACAATAGACAAACTCTAAATAAGAGCAAAAAATAATCCTCAAAAGATAAAAAAAAAATAATTAAAGAATTATTCCAGGATCAAAAACTATTACAGTAAATCGATATTAACAAGAGTCAGATCAAATTTGTCCGTGACTCGATGGTTGCCCAAAGTTTTGTTAATGCGCGTTATCTGAAACATTAAAAAAATAGTATGTAATAACCAAAGATAATTAAATGTTTAATATGATCTTATAGGAAAATATGACTCAGGCATGCAACGCGATATCACGTTGTGTCATCTTTTTGTTGCGAACTGTTGGGAAATTAAGGTGGGAAAGTTAGTGTGGGAAAGTTTAGTGGCGGAAATTTCTAGAGTAATGTAGAATAGCAAGACAGATGTAAACATGTAAACAATAGGCGCATGTATAAATACATGCGCAAATCAGTAGCATGTAGAGCAAGCTAAGAATACAATAGCATTTAAGTAATAGAAAATAAAGTAACGTTTAAGAATAAACTCTTACCTTGTGTTTAGTGTGCCAAAGTGGACTTGTAGCTTAGGCTACGCGACTACAAGAGAGAACCGAGGTTTTCCTAGGGAATTTGCATTAGAGTGGTTTTATATTAGTCGGTAGAGAAGTTAAAGTGGGAGAACGGCCAATCGGAAACGCGACTCAAGAGTTAGAGAAGCTTACCTTATTGTTAACCAAGTGTAAAGAGAAGCATTGCGGGCTCGCCGGAACGCCCGTAACTCAATACTGTACAGCAGAGTTTTAGTTGCTATTTTCGGCTGCAGAGGGGTGTTCTTTATACATCACTCGTGCGGCACCCTTATGGTACTTGTGCGTCACCTGTGCAGGTGTGCCTACAATGATTTAAAGTGAAATTTCCGAATTATAGAAATCCGTTACATTAATACTACTACATTTTTTTAAACTATTTATTAATAGATAAAAGAAATTCAAAAAAAAAAAGAAATAAAAAGAAAATAAAATTGCTTACTTATTTATATGTATATCACGTGTTTACTGTAATATATGCTAGAAATGACCGATTGGGTATTTTTTTTTTATCGTTTACTAGCGATGTAATTTAAATAATATTTTTATTATGTTATATGAAACACTATATCTACTGTACTTATTCATCTAGGTTACTAACTCTGTCCGTTTTAAACAATTTAATTGATCCCATATTATTACGTTAGTTATTTTTTATTAAACAGATCTGTAATATGAAGCAGATTGAAAAAAAATTACATATATTGTTGCACTTTGTTTGGCAGTATTTTCAATTGTCGGCAGTTAATATTAAAGGGTTGAATGAAAACGCATAAGTGGCATCTAAATTCAAGAAGTAGATTGATCAAAATTAACATGGTTCCATACGGAATATCAATCTTCTGAGAGATTATGTATGGAGTTCTTCGAATTTGATTCCACATTTGTCTTTTATGACAATTATACTCGAAGTAAACTAAGAGTCATTAAATTATATCTAAATCATGTGGATCATTTAAAAATAAATATTTGCTAGTGATATAGCAACCCGAGATTTTATTTTTAATATACTCACTCTTTCGCAGAAATGTCACTATATAAAAAAATAAGACAATGCTTAAGAATAAATGAATTAAAAATATGTCAATAAGAAATGTAACTACCATTTATTAAATTCGTTTCTACCATGCTCTGAAACAGTTTTTGCATAAGGATAAGTGATTTGCGTGATAAAATAATGTCAGTGTTATTTAAATCGAGCAATCGCAAAGTTGGAATCCGATGCGATCAATTCACATATTTACCTTGACATAAACTCTCCTCCTATCCTTAAAATCTAAGACACTTAATTTTTGGATCGTAGTCAACTAATCTGAATTCAGGGTCAAATTCCTGTAGCAAGTAACAAATAAATTTTATTGCATTTGATTACATCAGAAATATTGATGATATTAACATTTGTTTTTTAATGGCACGTGTAACATGTCACCTCACAAACAAGAACGAAGAAATGTAGTTTAAATATAAGTACTAATGTACCTTATCTTCTAGTAACATTAAAATTTTATCTAACAAAAAAGTTACAATTTTTATTTATTATTATTTTTATATTTTTATTTGCTTAAAACAATATAAATCACTATAGTACGGAATTTTTCACTCGAAATCATTGCAAGTGCACCTGCACGGGTGACGCGCACAAGTGCCGCAAGGGTGTCGCACGAGTGACGCATAAAGAATAACCCCCTCTGCGACCGTAAATAACAATAAAACTCTGCTACTCAATACGTACAGTATTGCGCAAAAAGCATTGAAGCCATTTTAAGAAAAAAACGTGATGGCTTGGCAAATCCATCCAATCCTAAAATAGTAAAATCTTTGCCGATTATAATTGATGGGTTGCACGAATATTTGATCCCAACATCCGTATAATCTGCCACAATACGTTCTAATCGGTCATTGAGAATAATTATGGCAAAATACTATAGAAATTCAGATTATTTTCGCAGATGTCACGTAAGACAAATCAAACTTTAAGCGTAATATTGTGAGATTTTTATTTGAATTTGACGATATAAATGAAAAGAATTCATTCGTATCCATTGATAAAAGAAAGAAAACCACTGTAAATTTTAAATGTTGCTTGAACCTAAAGGCAGTTGTTAAACAATCGGCAGAGATGGTCATCAATTATTCTTACTATTTACTAGAGGTAGAAACCAGTTAATTATGTCAAATAATATTTTTTAAGAGCACTAGTTCATTTTTTATTTGCCGTATAACAAGGTTTTTTAGAAGGTTCTTTTAGTGAAGGACCCAACGAAAGAAGACACCTATCTATTCTTAATGGAGAGCTGTTTAACGGTAAAACAACATCAATAATTTGACTTTATCAGCATAAAGCTAGCTAAAAGACTTTATTTAAAAAAGGATGCCCTCATGATCATGGTTTGGAAACAGGTTTTTGTAGAGAATTAAAAGCAGTATGGACTAACACGCAAAGTGAACAAATTAGTAAGAGTGTAAATAAGGAAATAGATAATTTGGTCCCAAAATTATACAAAAAAATAAAAGAAGTTCTAGTTCCCACCACTGTTCGCCGCAGAAATTATGAAAACAATAGAGATTCAACCCTTTTAACTCATGGTCGGATAGACACCGTGTTTTGGATTCTTCCAGACGAACTTATTTTTTATCTGGTATAGTTCGTGAGAAAGAAGCTTTAAAATTTTATGGGTTTCTTATAATAAAAATTTCTTTTAGGTTCAAATCGATCATCCTTTAGTAAAAAATGGAAACGGCTATCATTTTTACTGCGCCAATATGAAGGGACAAGTTAAGAAAATAGAAGGTCAGCCTAGCTCTCAAAACGAAAATATTCTAAAATTCGATTTTAGCAAGGATAAAGAAAAAGAAGACGCCTTGTTTTTTTTGTTTACGGCTAGTAAGTAAAAAGTTTTTTTACAAACTCCTATTTTTTTAATTACTAACTTTCAGACCTCTTTGAAAGATACTAGTAAAACGGATAATTCTAAGTTTTTTAAACGCTTTTTGGAATTATGGATAACTGAAGATGCAGAAAAAAAAGTTTTCATATTTGGACTTTCGTCAATGATCCAGGAAGTGCTCAAAGATCTATTTTCGGAAAATCAAGAAATTACTAATTGTATAGTTATTAGTTTTAATTCGCAAAAATTTAAAGAAAACCTAGAAGATTGTAATGAGTTTGCTCAAGGAGCGGGGGCAAATCACGGAGAGATAGAATGGTTTAAGCAATTTAGCAAAGCATATGGAAAGAATAATCTGCAGGCCATGATAGATTAGCCTAATAAAAACAATAATCGCTAGTCAAATTGTTTTATATTTTTTACCTAATAAATATCACATATTTTAATAAAATTAATTCTACTTAGTAATCAAAGAGTTGAAAATCGCCAGTCCAAGATATATTCTCTTACTTTAATAAAAATAGGATTTCTTATAATATTGTAAAACTAGCCGTAATAAAAAATGTACTGTATAAAATTTTACTGTTGCAAAATAAAATACAAATTTTAAACCTTGTTCAACACTCAACAATTATTTATAATTGTACCGGTTACCAGCGAGTCTGTCTCTAAGAGAAGCGTGACAATCGTGACAATCAGTAAGTAATTAAAAAATAAAGGTGATGTAAGTTTAATATTGACCAAAAAACACCGTCTTATTAATTCATTCTATTTTTTATGCATTCTCTCGCCAATTATATAATGATAATAAACCAACCTAGAAACTAAGGCTTATAAAATTTCGCGGAAAACTATTGTTAAATAATCATTTACATTTCAATCCTTGAAAATCCAGTCACGTGCCTATCGTCGTGATTGTGTTGTGAATTATATAAGTTTCTGAATCTTCTTTTTCTATCCATTCTCCATTGTAAAGTTGTATTCAATTAAGCTAGACCTTATGATAGTGCCGTGGTGATCGAGCATCCAGTGTGGGTATTTATTTTACTTATTTATACTATAAAAATTGTTTAACATTAAATTCTCTAATTTAATATGAATATAGGGATGGTAAAACTATTATCAGAAAATTGTAAAAAGCTATTTCATAAAAATCTACTTTTGTGGCCCAAATCTTTACAAAAAATGTATATATGTATATATTTTTTGGATCTATTAAAAATGTTTTTGAGACTTTTCCTGCAACTAATATAGATTTAATTTCAATTAGTTATCTATACTAATTGTTTCTTATATTATATTCTTTATTTTTGAATATATTATTAATTTTAATATATTAAATAATTATTTAAATAACCAATTCAAATTATATCCAAAAATATTCAAACAATTATGTTTACAAGTTATTACTTTGTTATAATAATAAATTATTCTTGTGTTTACAAATAAATAAAACGGTTTTAAAAAATATTATCCTTTAAATATATAAATTAATTTAAATATATTTGATTCAATATTTTTTTGAAAATTGTTATTTTTTTAAAAAAATCTAAATAATAATCTAAAATGTTTGTATTAATTTAAATTATTAAATTATTTTTTCTAAAAAATCAAAAAATCAAATTTTATATAATGTTTTAAACTATGTTTTTTATTTTTAAAAATTAAATCTTTAAAATTAACAATCCCACATATTTTTTAATATAATGAATTTATTGTTTTTATTTTAATATATAGTTTGAAATTTTTACTTAGAATTTAATAACTAATAATATAAAGTATATGTATTTGTTAAAACAGAATAAATAAATATAAATATAAATTATTTAAATATATTAAAACTAATTTATTAAATATGTAATTTTAAAATAAAATTCAATTCTATATATAATTATCAAATTAAATATTTCTTTAAATTTAAATAATTTATTATTATTTTTTATATAAAAATATTTTTACAATTTAATATCAAATTTGAATCTACTTTCAAAGTGTAAATTGGTATATCTGATTAATCAACTGTATTGGTTATATTGACAATAGCTATTAAACTGTTCATATATAAGAAATATAATCTATGATAATTAAAAAAATTCATATACTGTATATAGTGCAGTTAGCATTATTAACAATTTAATATTAAATTAAATATTATATAGTAAATATTATATTTGAATTATATTAAACATTGTACAAACTTAATATAATATTTAATTTGTTAAGATATTATAATATTAGGATTAATGAATGAAAACTTTATTAAATATGAGAAAATTAAATAACTCTTTATTTTTCAAAAAAAAATCTTTTCTTATATAAATAAATAAAATAATAATATATAGTTGATATGATATATATAATTTTATTAGTTTTTCAAAGAACATATAAAAAATAATATAAAATAAATCAAATAAAGAACAAATATTAAATATTAATTTATTTAATTAATTAATATAACATTAAACTATTTATACAAATATTATTTTTGTAAACATAAGTAATTATTATGCTTTATTTTATTATTATAATTTTAAACTTATAGATTATAAAATTTGTAATATCAATAGTATAATATATATCTCTTTTTACTAAAAAGAGTTAAATACAAAACTTATAATTGTAACATATTTTCTATATTTTTAATATTATTTAAAACGACCTGTGGGTCTATAGCACAGTGGTTAGTGCTCCGCAGGTCAGATCTCAAGATAATGGTTCAAATCCTCCAGAGGG